ACTCCCCGGCGTCTTCCAGCTTCACCTTATTGAACTGCAGCCTGGAAATTTTTCTGTCGAAAAACAAAATATATTTTTTTTTTACTTTCCCATGAACGCTGTTTATGAGGTTAAAAACACAGCGCCCTCTCCCCCCACCTGTGCCTGGCTGGCACAGTCACGTGGTGCGGATGGCAGGCTGTCTGAGCTCAGGCACGACTGCGGGCCGGCGTCTTCCAGCTTCACCTTATTGAACTGCAGCCTGGAAATTTTTCTGTCGAAAAACAAAATATATTTTTTTTTTACTTTCCCATGAACGCTGTTTATGAGGTTAAAAACACAGCGCCCTCTCCCCCCACCTGTGCCTGGCTGGCACAGTCACGTGGTGCGGATGGCAGGCTGTCTGAGCTCAGGCACGACTGCGGGGTGAGTCTGATCGGCGTGGGGAAATTGCAAGCACTCCAGGAAAGCGCTCGGGCGTAACGCAGGAAGTGATGCTCTGCCCCGAGCGAGCAGGGAGCCGAGGCCGGAGAGCGGCACTCGCGGACGCGGGGGCAGGGTCTGTCTCCCGATGAAGCCAGCAGCCTGGGAGCTGAGCGTTATGCTCCAGCCCTGTAACTAAAGGGTTGATTATCTCCCCGTGGATGTGGAATGACACCTAGACAATCTGAGTTATCTGGGGTGGGCGGAACCCAGGTCCAGCAACTGGCTACTGGCGCATGGTGAGTATTCCCACGCCTCCGCAGAGCCGCCGGACCCAGCCACTGGCGGGAGACATGAACTCGAGCACCGTGTTTTACACGTTTCCTTGCAAGCCAGCACCACCGAGTCTGAACTCCTCAAGGATCACGTACAGATGGGACCCCCCCTGGTCCAGCACCCTTGGGGCCTGACCCGTCCTGGATGCGGCATTTTGCCAGACCAGGGGAGGTCATAACTGGCCCCACTGCTACCAGCCCCCCAGCCCTGGACTGGACACTGACCTTCTGGTTCCTGCCCCCCCCCGCGCCAGGTGCCAGCCATGATGCCCTGCCGGTATCCCCCCTGCCCCTCCCAGCTCCCAGCCTTGCTGGGCAGCCCAGCTGGGTCGCGCCCGGGCGCCAGACCTCTACCGAGGCTCTCTGGTCCTGGAACATCCATGGCCCTTCAGAACCAGAGATGTTGCTGGACCAGAGAGTCCCAGTTTACAGAGGTTCAACCTGTACCACGAAGGTAGTGGTGTGTACTATGCTCTGATTGGACACAGGCGAAGCTGGAGGCGGGGCTTGAATGCAGGGCTTTCACACTCCAGCCCTCTGCTACTGGAGCTAGCAGGGCGGCCGGTTTTAGCCTCCCTTTGGCCAGCAGCTAGAGGTAGTGTCCCAGCCTCGGTACTGCTAACACACAGGGTCCGAAGGCCACGTGGGTTCCAGGGTTCCAAGCGGCTAGAAACACCTGGAGCAAACACACTGGACCAGGCTGCAACTAACGTTACCATCTGCGCTTAATTAGCAAGAGAACAGGTATTCGGGAGAGCAGCTCGGCAGCCCCTAGGGAGAAGTGTGCCGGCGCCCGAACACAGAGGAAAATGACCCTGAATGTCCCAACAGATAACGCACAAGACGGGGTAGCTGCTGGTGTCTGCTACAGACCATCAATGACACCAGGGAACAGGATAATTGGCTCCTCCTATAATACGAATGGGAAAAGAGTGGGGACATCATAGGGGACTTCCATGCATCACTCCAATTGAACGGTCTCTTGCTGACCATGCTGGGAATTTCTAAATGTTATAGATGACAATTTCCTAGCTCGGAAAGTTCTGCATCCTACACATGAGAATTCTATACTAGACCTTGACAGAAAAAAGGAAGCTGATTGTAGAACTAAAAAGTAATGGTAGCTTAGTAATAAGTAATTATAATTTGATTACATTTAGCGTGTGTAAACAGAATTAGGTCCAGTCCAGAATTAGATATTTGGTGCTTTTAAAGGGGCCAATTTCATAATGCTGAAAACAATTATGAGCCCAGTCTGCTAGGAGAAAGAATTTAATCAGACACATGTGAATGATGAACAGGAATTGTTTTAGAACACTTTGCTAGATGCCCTAAAAGCCCCAATCGAAGAAGAATTTAGAAGAAAAATGAAGGCAACTGCATGTATGTATAAATGATTGCATAACTAAATAAAAGGAAAGGAAAAGTTTATAGTAATGAATATAAATCAGAAACTAGCAATTGCAGAAAATTGATAAAGGAAGCAAAGGGACACAAGGAGAAATCTATGGCCAGCAGAGGTAAAAGGACAAAAGAATGGAGTTTTGTGAGTACATTAGGAACAAAAAGAATCTCATCAATAGTACTGATAGAATTATCAATAATAAAGCAGAAAAGCAGATGTGTTCAATAAATATGTCTGTTCTACATTCGGGGAGGAAGGAACAGACGATATCATCACATTCCACTAATATTTCAGAAGGATGCTAAACAACATATGCTAAAGAGAGACATTTTTTAAGTCCATAGGCTCAGATAATTTGCATCCAAGAGTCTTTAAATTGCTGGCTGAGGAGCTCACTGGACTGGTAATGTTGATTTTCAGTAAGATTTTGAGCAGCGAGGATGTTCCAGAAATCTGGAAAAAAGCTTGTTTGCCAATATTTTAAAAAGGATAAATGAGATGACCTAGATAATTACAAGCCTCTGAATCTGATATCAGTCCTAGGCAAAATAATGGAGCAGCTGGTATAGGTCTTGATTAATAAAGAATTAAAGGGGGGTAATATAATTAACACAAGTCAACATGGGTTTATGGAAAACAGATCCTGTGCAATTAACCTGATATCTTTTTTTGAAGAGATTACAAAGTGTGGCTGACACAGCACAACAGAGTTGGCATAACATACTTTCACGTAGTACTGCACATTAGTTTGATTAAAAAAACCGGAATGGTATAAAATTAACCTGGTGCCAATTAAATAGATTAAACATTGGGCAAACTGATAAGTCTCAAAATGTTACTGTAAATAGGAAATCATCTTTAACTGGGGTGTTTCCAGGGAGGTGCCAAAGGAATTAGTTCTTGGCTTACTTAACATTTCCCCTAGGGAAGGGCTTATTGAGGTTGATTGGTTTGTGCGTTTTTAAAACAATCGTACAATTAGGATGGGAAATGTAAGTCAAACAACGGGGTTTTGAGTTTAGTTCTGAAAGCAGAGAGGCTAGTGCTGACACTGATCGCTCAGGGATCTGAGTTCCAAAGGTTACAAGACTCTGATCTTTCATCCTGTTGAGATTTTTCTACTATCTTGACAATTTTTCATAGAAACCTAGAACTGAAAGGGACCTCGAGAGGTCATTGAGTCCAGTCCCAGCCCTCACGGCAGCACCTACACCAGCTAGACCATCCCTGCCAGGTGTCTGTCCAACCTGCTCTTCAGTATCTCCAGTGATGAAGATCCCACAACCTCCCTAAGAAATGTATTCGATAATAAACACTGGAATAAATTGCCTAGGGGGGTTGTGGAAACTCCATCCCTGGAGATATATAAGAGCAGGTTGGACAGACCCCTGGCAGGGATGCTCTAGATGGTTCTTGGTCCTGCTGGGAGGTCCCTTCCAGTTCTAAGATTCCAGCGTTTAACCCCCGACAGGTAGGAAGCTTTTCCTAATGTCCAACCTAAACCTCCCTTGCTGCAATTTAAACCCATTGCTTCTTGTCCTGTCCTCGGAGACCAAGGAGAATAATTTTCTCCCTCCTCCTTATAACACCCTTTTAGATACCTGAAAGCTGCTCTCATGTCCCCCCTCAGCCTTCTCCTTTCCAAACTAAACAAGCCCAATTCTTTCAGTCTTCCCTCCTCACTCATTTCGCATTCCCTGCTGAGATCCATTCAGGAGTGTTACCCGCCAGGCAGACCATCGCATTTTTCTTGAGGAAGGCAGCACCCTGGCTCCCATGTTCTCTTCATTCAGCTAAAGGGCCAGGATCGTGTTCTAATTCATCCTTGGTGCAACTCCATTGGCTGGTTAGATTCTACACTGTTGGGTTTGTTAACCCTCCGTACCGATGATACTGTGGCCTTTGTATGCTGCTTAGAATATTATGGTTGGGTTGCTCTGAATCATTTCGGCTCAGAGTCCAGGGGAGCCGAGTCTCCACCCACTGCTCCAGATGGGCCAGGGGAGTAGGTTTGGGGGGGCTTGCAAGCCTCCATGCTGTAGCCCAACTCCCCTGCTGGGAGCACTGGTCAGCGGAGCAGAAGAAGCCCCTGCCACACTCCCTGAAGCACCAGGTATGTGGATGGGGCAAACCCCTGCCCTGACCCCTATTGCTAGCAGGGGAGCAAGGGGAAGTGAAATGGGGGAGGGGGTGTGCAGGCACAGATTTTCGTGGGGTCTCATCTTATGGAGGCCCTGGCCCAAACATCTATCCCTTCTCTTTCTCATAACACAAGAACTAGGGGTCGCCAAATGAAATGAATAGGCAGCAGGTTTAAAACAAACAAGACGTTCTTCTTCATTCAGCGCACAGTCAACCTGTGGAACTCCTCACCAGAGGCTGTTGGAAGACCAGAACTTTAACAGGGTTCAAAAAAGAACTTGATAAATTCATGGAGGGTAGGTCCATCAATGGCTTCAGAAGGAAGTATAATGGATTGTGTGGAGAACATGGCCACGGGAAAGCACCTGGTTCAGAAATGAGTCACAACCCTGACGTTTCTCCCAACTTGACCCAACCTATTTCTTCACCTGACGTTTTGTTCACTTTTTATAGAATACAATTCTGAAAGCCAGACACACCTGGAGGGTAGAAAAACAATGCACAGCTGCATGGCTCCGGGCAGTTTTGTATTCCAGTGCACAATGTCGAGATTAGGCAATAAAAACAGGCAGCAAACAGGAAACATAAAATGGCCGAAAATGAACAAAAGCGGGAAATGAGGTGTGGAAGTGGTTAGACAAGCAGCATCCTCGCCCGGGGGAGGAGGGTTGGGGTCCCTCTATCCTGTCCCCCCTTACCCCGTTACCTGTGGTGGCCCTGCCAGGCCTTCTCCTGCCACTAGCGCCCTTCTGGGGCTCCGGGAGCCACC